GAGACATTCGATATTCATAAGTGACCTAACAAAAATGTTAAGATAAGTTTTAAGGTTTCTTGAAAAAAGTTTCTGACTTGGCCCAGGCAATCAATTTTAATATTCCCCGCATAATAACAATCCCCTAAATATTTCCAACCAATTTTAAATTCCCCGTAATTTGGGGGATTCCCCACATGTTGGCAACGCTGAACACGTGTAAATTGCGAGGTGACAGGAGTCGATCGGGAGGCGGCTGCACGTGTGTGAAAGGGTAGGGTAGAGTTAGCGTGAATACAGTAATACCTATTGCATTGTTTTGCACTGAATACATAAAAAGAGTTCAGCGTCCGCGCGTTTTTTGACCCCATAATCAGCTGATTTCAGGTTTAATTTTCATGCTGGTTTACGTTTGGGTATTTTCATAATTTTTTTTATAAAATTATTGTTTCATTTTGCTGTTCTAACATGATAGATCGTGAATAAAGCTAATTAAACTTTATAAAAAAGAATGTTGTTATTTTCCACCGGGATCGATTTTATTTTCGTCCAATCATCAAAGGTTTTTTTAGTTTAAAACAGAAAGTTTTAACTATTATCTGTCGTCGTTTTCGAGAGCGTTTCAAAAATACTCTGTATATTAATTTTAGGCCTTCTCGGTCTTTTTGTCACATTTCATCAGTGCCAAAAGGTTCCAGCATTCCAATTCAGACATGGCAGATTTGGCTGATGGTGTCATGACTAAAAGTAGGTAATTTATACTTTTTGTCAAACAGTTGATGATGGCAAAGTTTACAGTTATTAACAATTAATAAGACTATAGCTATAAAACATGAAGCACACACACAATAAAGTTAAGTGCAGTGACCTACTTGACCGCATTTCATTTGCTGTTCCGCGTAAATATGCCTGTTGTCGCATCCAAAAAATATTTCATATTCCTTTCGCGAAAACTCATCCCGGGAATCACGCTCCTATCGTACGTATATGTAGAAAATATAACGAATTTTCAAAAACCATACCTTGCATTGACATATTTAGCGACTCTTATATTACATTCAAAATTAAACTAACAAAACATTTATCGTCGAGTTCCTGATATAAATTAGATCTTCAATATAATATATCTAATACTTAAATTAAAAATATACATACTCCTGAAGAGAGTACAATATCTATCATATTCCCTTTTAATAATAATTAAACCTGTTTCTTTATCTTATTTAAGTACATAATAATAATAAGTTAATAAAATTTGGTTCCCCAAGAATACGTGATTACTTTTTAGCTGCTACACATAGATTTAACAAAACAGCTAAGAGTCAAAGTGAAAAGCTCAATAGTAGTCATCTTGGCATTGGCGGTGAGAAGCAGCCAGTCTTTGTCGTTGAGCATCTGTCACCCACCCAAAAGGAAATACATGCTGCAGCGAGATCTAAGGCAAAAGAACTCAACTACAAATTTGTCTGGGTCAAGGGAGGAAGAATATTTATGCGTAAGAATATTTATTAATAAAGACCATCCAAGAACTGTCTGAACTAAAATAGTTTTCATAGCAAACTTAGTGTATAAAGGTGTTTTATTGCTTGTCTAAATTATTTTGTTTGTATAACCTGTATGTTGTTAGATCATTTGAACATATATTATCAAAATGTAAGAGGCTTAAACACAAATGCGGTTGAGGTACGTCAACATATTATTAATAATAAATACGATGTTTATATATTCATAGAAACGTGGCTTAATAACAGTTGCTATGACACTGAAATCTTTGCCAGGGGCTATGCAGTGTACAGACCAGATCGTGAAACCTCTCCTCTATCAGGGCTAAAAAAAGGCGGGGGCGTGCTTATTGCTGTATCCGAACGACTCATGTCAAGGCGTATCGTAGAGTGGGAAACTGATTGTGAAGATATTTGGGTGTCGGTTACATCTAACTCTACCAAAAATCCAAATACAATACTACTATGCGCTGTGTATTTACCACCTCCAGTCGCTAAAGATACTTTAGATATTTTTATAGATAAAGCAAATGGTATACTTGGTTCCCGAACTGATAGAGAAAGCATACTCATTGCCGGTGATTTCAATTTGAGTGGAATAACTTGGCTATGCAATCATAGAAACGACATCTTTAATCATATGTTACCATCAGGGTTCGGTAACAGTGAGATCTTATGTAAATTTGTTGATTTTATAAATCTCAATAACTTAAACCAATTTAACTATGTAACAAACATAAAAAATCGTATATTAGATTTGATACATTGCAATAAAGAAGTCTTGAATATTGTCGAAACACAAGATCCAGTAAGAAATATTGACAAGTTTCATCCTCCTCTTGTAATTAAAATGAAAATCTTATTAGAAAGTAATAGAAAAGTACATCTTACCAAACGTAATTTTTATAAAGGTAACTATAGAGCTATAAATACTTACCTGGAATCGGTGTCATGGGAGAATGAATTTAGTTCTTGTAATAATCTTAATGAAATGGTAAAAAGACATAACACGTGTGATAACCCATAGTGATGTATATCTTTTTGCTGACGACCTTAAAATTACGAAAACAGTTTCAACGGTTTCAGATGCGCAACACCTCCAGGAAGACATTAATAATCTTCACGAATGGTGTAACAACAATAAAATGTTTTTAAATGCTACAAAATGCTATCATATTAAGTACAGCAGAAAACGTAATAATTTTGAATCGATATACACAATAGCAGGCACAAAGTTGGAAAAAGTGATCACTATTCGAGATCTTGGTGTCATAATGGATGGTCATCTGAAGTTTGCGGATCATATTAATAAGATAGTGGCGGAAGCAAATAGGTCGCTTGGCTTCATATTGAGAAATACAAAGGATTTTAAAAAGCCAGCCACTGTCATTAAGCTTTACAACAGTTTTGTAAGAAGCAAGCTTGAGTATTGCAGCACAGTATGGTGCCCCACTTATAAAACTCACATAGAGAGGATCGAGAAAGTTCAGAAAAAAGTAATTCGTAGTTTAACTTACCGTTTTGGTACTCCAAGAAATGTCAAAACCTATCATGAAAAAATTAAGCACTTTCAACTAGAACCCCTTTCCCTACGCCGAAATCACTTAGACATGTCACTCCTACATAAGATCATAAATAATTACATCGTCTGTGTCCCGTTATTGTCCAAATTTCAATTTAACGTACCATGCAGAATACCAAGATATCCGTGTAGCCTTTTTAAGATCAAATTTTGTAGAACCAACTTAGGTCGCGACTCCCCAGTAATCCATTTATCTCGCCTGTACAATAAGCTCACCAAAAATGAACCCGACCTCGACGTTCACCATAATACCCTTGCTCAATTTTTTGCCAAGCTAAAGCATGTTGACGTACGTTAAACTTCAGTTACACAATTAACTTTTATTACTTTATCATTATTTTTTATTTTATTTTTTATTTAAGAACATATTTTTCTCAATTTTGTTTAACATTTGTAACACAACGCATGCTGTGATTGCCTATAATTATAAGAGCAGTTAATCATGTAAATTTAAAACGCTGTAATGTAACCAAACATTAATTGCTGTTTCTTATGTTGGTAATCCAAATAAATAAATAAAAAAAATTTATTTGAATAGTTCTAATTAGCATAGTATTGATTGGATGATATTTGTACTCCAAATGAATCCAAAATTGCACGACTCAATCTGTGAATGTTATGTACACTTGTTATTGGTATACATATCAGATAGTATAGAAATGTGTATGCTTTCGTGATTGTCATATATGTGTATTGTAAGTGTACTTGCTAAATTTAAAAAAAAGCACTTTCTAAATCTGGTTGCAGATGCTCTTGCTACGGATGTGAACGACTGTCAAACCGTATTTGACTTAGAATTGTAGACAGTGGGGTTTTATTGTCATAATTATTCGAGGTAACATACTAAGTGGATGAATTGCATTGGAGTTTTCAGAAATATGTTGCTATATCATTTTTCTCTTTTTTATTCGATAAGCTCGTAATGAAACAAGATTTATCGAAATGTTTTGAACAAAGTGTTGTGTTTGCTATGACTTTTTTAACGTCTGGAAAAAAATAGCGTGTAACAGGTGAACGGAGTAGAAGCTTATGCCATGTTATGCTTATGTTATTTTTTATTCTATGGAGAGATAGCGCGCTATATTATGGTGCTGTGCCCTATATTAACCACCTATTTAATGTCCATTCGCAGGTTCGCAGGTGCAAATGCCACTCGCGCTCCCATTTTAGTCATCTGCGTATTAGCTACGGCGTTTACGCGTGTGTATCAGTCACCCGACTTGATCTGAGAACATTCTTACTCCTAACTAGTCTTTGCTCCCAGCAGAGTCTTGTCCTTTGACATGCACGATAATGATGTTGATTTTTAAAATTGAGAAATCACTATAGTCTATAGTACTCATAAATCACTGAGAACTCCTCTAGTAGTCTGTGAGTCTGTTGCATAGAAAGTAGACCTCTTCTAGCAGGTTTTGGCTTGAACTGGACGTCGTCGAATTGTCGCTTCGTTTCGTTTCGTGTCGTTGTCGAATAATTGTTTGAAGTGGATTTTGATTCGTAAAAGTGACGCGATTTTTTGAAATAAGTGTTTGCGCGTGTGAACTATTAGACAAAACTACGAAACAAGTGCTTTGATGTTGATATAAACCTCAAATTATTTTGATCTCTTGGGCGCCTTATGAACTTGAGTAGCTATCGTCATCAACTGTCCACTGGGTTGAGATGTCCTCAAAATCCTTCAAAAGCGTTGCAATATGATGCATCAACATATTTTAAAGAAAAAAAATATAAAAATGATGATTCCGAAAGAAATTATGGGCTCAGAAAGGCTAGAACCCAGAGCTATAAAGCCAGTGAAATAAATAAAAAACCTCCACTATCACTATCAAAAACTACAATATTCTACTAGTTTGTGGTAGTCGTAGACAGAGAAACCTGGTTGAGTACCCCAGAATACATTTACCCTGACGGGTAGAGTACCATAGAGTACCTTCCAGAAAGAGAAAAGGTGAGGTTAAATATTTCTGTTTTATTTTTTTATAATATTTAGAATTAATATTAACGTTTATAATTTTAAGTTTTACAACATCATCAAGAAAATTTTAACGTATTTGACGTTTGATAATAGAATTACTTTACCAAAACTCTCATGCAGCAGACGACATATTACATAATGATGTCTTGTTTTTCATTCTCAGGATTCAATCAATTACGATGTCGGAGACACCAGGTCGCCCTATGAAATTCCCTTACACGTTTTCAGCGAAGGTAGCACAATTCCCGCTGAAATTTTACATCCAGAATCAATGGATCTGGCGTTACTGGTTCATTAGTTTCGGCGTGTGTCTTCCAGTTTTCTACAAGATTCACAAAATGGGTAAATTATTATTGTTAATATTAAAATTATTATACATTGAAACGGTTGAATGCTACCAATGAATGGTCATTTAATTTTACTATCATTATACAGTGGATAGTCACTTTATACACCAGACACTGTTTGTTTACAAGTAGATAATGATTTATAGTGCTATTCGAGGTTAACTATTAGGTCAAAACAATACTATCCATTTAAATGTAAATGACCAAGAAAATTTGACTAAAATGCTTTTAGTAATTGTCAAATTATTTGAAATGCCTGCCACAATTGGTTGTTAAATAGGAATATCCTGCCGCTAGTAGTAAGTTAGGAAATAATGCTTTTCTGGAGCAAGTTAAATAGTATTAATTTTTTTTAATTTTGAATCCATATATACATAATGGAGATGTACTGAATACGGGTTTCACCGAATACGAATATTCGGCCGTTCAGTATAACTTTTACAGAACTGAATATTCGACCGAACATTATTCAACAGGATCACCCCGGTACCTAACCAATTTATGTTGAAACTTGTTACCGGAAACTGTGCAGGATTAGTGCCAGACCCTGCCCCTCGTTCCCCCACCACACCTGACATGTTATTGCATCATCTAGCACTGAGAAAATTGCCAGCACATGCTTATGTTTTGACTATTTTTGTGAGAAAAAAGTATATCATTGTATTATTCAAAGTGAAAATTGATAATTATAATATGATAGAAATGAGTGGCAGGGGATCTACTATTTGGACTTAATTTAGAGAAACTGACTACCAAAGTAAAGTGATATGTATTAATGTAATGTTTCTTTGTTTGATTTGATACTTTCAACAATAAAATTATGAAAAAAATGACATTGCTCAATTCATATGATTCAATACAGTGGTCGCTGAGTACCACTGTAACGAATTTTTGGTGATTTAGCTGAATATTCAGCAGAATACTAATAATCGGTAAAGCTGTTGAATATGCCGAATACCATATGTGAATCAAATATTCTGCCTATCTTAATATATATAAATTATGTGTCACATTGTTTGTCCGCGGTGGACTCCTAAACTACTTACCGATTTTAATCAAATTTGCACACTGTGTGCAGTTTGGTCCAACTTGAGAGATAGGATAGTTTATTTGCCCATGACCCACAATATTTTTTTTGTGAATTTAAGGATTTTTAATAGGACATGACAAAGGATCGTCGAAAAGGGCAGAACAATGTCTGCCTGGCAAGCTAGTCTCTATATAAAGAAATTAATGCATCTGTCTGTGATAAAAAATTTCCTTTTATTAAGCTCAGGGGGTTGTTTGCATGCCATTTTTGTCTCTCTGGGCTAATCTGGAATAGCTGAACCAAAAATACAATGCAACACAAATGAGCAAATGCTGAAAAAATTAGAGATCTTTGTGTCAGTTTTATCAGTTGTGTTGTTCTTGATGATCATCTTGAATCTAAATAACTCCACCTAATCACTAGTGAACAGTGAAAACTGAAGAGAATAAAAAGTGATTTGCAATGAATATTCAGCAATTATTCGGTATTTGGCCTATTCGGCTACTATTTTCCTATTCAGGTGAATACCTAATATCTAGATACTATTTGACCGAATAAGGAATACTTAAATACAATGTTTTCTTGTAGTGAGATAATGGTAAAATTAAAATATTGAATTATTTTATAATGATACCTATTAAAGTAGATGATTATGGTGCAGAGAGAAATTTTGGATTTTCAGACAGTAGTTTACTAATTTTCTTCTCATAGACAAACCTAGCTTCCAAGAATAGACCCTCTGAATAAAAAATAGTACTTCCTTCCAGGCCGAATACTTTTGCCTAATATTCAGCCAGGAAGCTCGCAGAATATGCAGTATTTGGCATGTGGCCTAACACACTATTTGTTGCAGGTCTAATAAAAACTAATGTTATGCCACAAGTTAATAGGATTTTAGTTTTTTTTTTACTGAACATGAATTTATCCAGAATTAACACTTGTAGTAACGGGTTTTTCAACAAGAACTTTGTTTTTTAAAACAAAATAAAACAAAGAGTTTAGATGAAGATGATTCCAATTTTTATTGTATTACGAAGAGAAATTTTGGCAATTATGAATGAAAAATGATATCTGGCAAATGTCCACCACGACCACGCTGACAGATGTCGATTCTTTCATCAAAGTTTTTTATCACTTTTTGGAAAAATGGCGGGTCTATTTCGTTAATCACGTCACGGATTTTGAGTTTTAAGGCCGCGATCGATTCGATTGGCTCCGTATAGACTCTGTCCTTAACATAGCCCCACAAAAAAATAATCCAGTGGTGTTAAATCACACGATCTGGCTGGCCATTTAACAGCTGAATTTCGTGAAATTATGCGATCGGGAAATTTGGTTTGCAATAAATTGATTGTTTCGTTGGCTGTGTGACATGTGGCACCGTCCTGTTGAAACCACATGTTTGTGATATCGATGTCATCAATAATAGGCCAAAATTGAGATGTTAACATCTCGCGAAAGCGTGATCCATTGACCGTTACCGCATTTCCAGCCTCGTCTTCGACAAAAAACGGCCCAATCACGCCTCCAGACCACATAGCGCACCATACAGTGACACGTTGAGCATGCAAAGGCTTCTCAATAATCGCTTTAGGATTTTCACAAGCCCAAAAGCGGCAATTTTGCTTGTTGACGTACCCTGACAAGTGAAAATGGGCTTCGTCTGAAAAAATTATTTTTTCAGAAAAACCAGCGGGCTGTTCCTGAATGAATTGAGCGAATCTACGGCGATGTGAATGGTCGGTCAGCTTCAATTCCTGCACCAGTTGAACCTTGTAAGGCTTCAAAGCCAAATCCTTACGCAAAATTCGCCATGTGGTGGTTTTGGATAACCCCAATTGTTGAGAATGTAGAGGAATTGACAAATTTGGATCTTCTTCAACACTGTGGCTCACGGCTGCAATGTTTTCGGTTGAACGACCCGGTCGAACACGCGTTGGTGTTGGCACATTTTGTACCGAGCCTGTCGATTCAAATTTAGCGACCAAATTCTTAATCACGAATTTTACGAAACGTAACTTTAACAGAACCACCATTTTCATAGTGGATTTTAATTATTTTAATGCGATTTTCGAGCGAAATTGAAATCATTGTAGCAATTGCCAAAGCATCTACTACGAATAGGTCAAAAAACTAAATGTCAAAACTGTCATGTTGTTGGTGTTGCCCCAATTGAAAAACAAAGTTCTTGTTGAAAAACCCATTACTACTAAATTAGGTATTGCATTTACTTTATGTTAAGGTTGCACCACCTGAAAATCACATACATTTATATTATATTAAGTGTCTAGTCTGCAAACAGTGGTTGTTAAATAAAAAGGAATTAGTGTAACAAATAACTTTTGGCAGAAATGGCATTATGTTTTAATTCAATAATTATTGGCCGTTGGTAGACTAAACTTAGACTATACAATAAGTATAATAACTTTTTGAACTTCAGTTTTATTTTCTTTCCAGCGAACTCACCCGAGAATGTCAGCAAATGGGCTGAAATAAGAAGGAAGGAAGCTGCTGAGCACCATCATTAACTCTTAGAAGCTTGTATTTTGAATGTAAATCATTACTATTTATGTTGTAAGGAATAAAATCATGTTTTAGTCACTTTGTTTTTTTGATACCCTTTTGCACATTAGCAGCATAATATTCTTTATACTGTTGTCAGCCAGTGCTAGACTACTTACTTATTAATTCTATGTATAAAAAGTACATTATTATTTTATTTGTCTTGGTGTAAAACTCTGGAAGGTGTACCAATTATGGTGAAAACACACGCACACGTTAATGGTTGCAATGCTATGGGCTTCGTTCATACTCTACTCCCATTAGCCATTTGCATGCCTCATTACAGCCCTTCACAAGTCCACTGCTGAACATAGGCCTCCCCCAAGTAATGCCACAAAGCACGGTCCTGAGCTACCTGCATGTCTTACCACCTGAGCTACCTTTCTGGTCGTCACTCCATCTAGTGGGGGGTCGCCCTACACTACGCCTACCGGTAGGAGGCTGCCACTCGAGAACCTTTCTTCCCCATCGGTTATCGGTTCTTCGAACTATTTGGTCGGCCCATTGCCACTTAGCTTACTAATCCATTGGGCTATATGGGTCATTCTGGTTTTACTGTGGATATCCTCATTTCTGAGTTTATCACGCAGAGAAACTCCTAACATAGCCCTCTCCATAGCTCAAATCACATCAATGAACATCTGAATAATCTGTAATTTTGCAAACATATAAAAGTATGATGACAATACATTTTAATTTCATAACTATGACTTCATCACATGCACATGATGGTATGATCTCCCATATTATTCAGTGTAGCCAAATTTTAAGCTTAAGTTAAAATATATAAATAATAATATACCGTTCTTGCATTTTTGAAAATACGAGCCGGCAAAGCTTCTACTGTTATTTGAAATTATCCCAAATTTAATGTGATTTATTAGCAACAACGTTTTTGTCTACCGATCGATCCTTATGAATATTTGCGTGCACAGTAAAATCAGTTTTAAAATATAAAAAGGACGGAAATATTTGAGATTTTTTTTATTAATTTTTCTTCACCATTTGCCTATATCACTTATTCCAAACCTTATCTGGGCCGGTTATTACAAAATACAGGATTATACAATATCTATGGGATGGTCGCTTTTGTACACTGGGCTCTATCTACTTAAGACTTCTTTTTCTATTTATTCCGTTGAGCATAACGCGAAACTTAACTTGATTACAAATTACACATAAGCTTTAGTGACGTTTAATACAATTCTATCTCTTACTTTTTCTATGGAAAGCATTTGTCCAACAGTAGTACATAGTTAAAATAGGTATGAAATGCGTATGAAAACATAATTTTAGCTTTTCTCAGACTTGAACTGCTCTATTGCAATGTGTTGTTATAGGATATAGTACTAAAATAAAAGAACGATTATTTTTATAGTTTTATTTCACTACAATATAAATTATTACAAAACTTTTAAATTACTCAATAAATATTCGCAGACAAAAAAATTATTATAACCTCAAAGAACTGCAGGAATGCAATTTGATCGCAGCTTTGTTTAGTGATTTGTATTGATAATTTTGATTAAATATTCCTTGTGACGTAATATAATTAAATTGAAAATTACATTGACAACCTACAATTATAAATTATAAGTCAATCTAAATGAAGCCGTGTCTCTGATTTAAATCAACTATCCATTGATTATGGTGTGAATGGGACCGTACTGATATGTACTAGAGATCTGTTTAGAACAGTTTCGGCTTTAATTGCAGCTGGATTTAAAGGTTAGTTTATCTTTAGGAGAGCTCTGATTAGTCCATCTCAATCAATTGATCGAAGAGTATGGAATATTGAAATGCAACTACATAATGAAACAGTCTGTTCTATATGGATATAACTCCTTTTTCTAACTACCCAGTAGTAACTGGATCATATATAATCAATCGATACCATATTAATTAGTTTAAAACAAAATAAAATAAGTAAAAGTCGCATAAAACAAAACAACCATAATGCATATTTCCAAATAATTGTAAGTTGAGCGAGAAATGTCTTAAATATTTTGTTTAACAAAAGAAACTTACAATAACATTCTTTAATATAATACAGAAATCTCGGCTTGTATAATAACGCAAATCCAAGTTTTAAGATTAAAAATGCAACGTTAATAAATAGAACTGATGTATCGCAAGACAGGTTGAAATGAAACTGTTGCTTGTCTATTTCGGCTTAAAGGGCTTAGTTTATAATCCATCTGCAAAAAAAGGTATGCTCGTATGAGACTGCCTAAAGCGACTGAACTACCTAAATTTGCAGGGCATTCCTAATAACATTTTACCGTCATAAGTAAATAGGGAACAACATCTACGTTTATTCTGAAATCAGGTCATTGAATTCATGTGCAACGAGTTTAGAAAATAATACATTTGGAGCCATTAACTGATGATTTGAATATTTTATTCCACAATACTGTAACATGCGTTGTTGGATAAGAACACTAGAAATAATAGACGATACACTTTCTTTAAATGGTTCCGAATAAGCACACCACATTCCCACACTTATCACATAATTTCAGAAAATATAAATGCACCCTTATGACTGCAGATATAACCGTTATTCTCACGTATAGTGTTAAACAGTGCATGATTATAGAAGTCTTCGTTTGTTTATTATTTAAACAGGAGAGTATCCCAAGCTTGTGTTTCAAAGTTATATTTTTCATATTATACATGGTTTCCGTTAAGTCGGTCACATTATATATAATTTATCAACTTACAACAAGGAGACAATTTTTCATTAACAGAATTATGTAGTATTAATGAACAACTCCAAGACGTGATAAATTTCCTTTATAAAGAACAAATAATTTATGAAAAGTATCTATCCAGTCTAATACTGTTTCAATCATTGTACATAATATAATAATTTGCTTGAGCATAATTCTAAAACACTGGTGAAAGAAATCATAAAATGATTAATATTAAATATATACAGATTAAAAACAAAACACTCACAAACTATTTAATCTATAATATGCAACACACTGGATATTTTAAATTACAAACAAATATTTTATACAATGGCAAAGTTGTAAGTAACATGTTATTATATATATTTCACCTATGTAAAAGGCATTATGCATTATTAGGTGAAAATATTTAATGTAAGAAATACACAAATACAATATGTTTATGGATGCATTTACATTTATACACAATACTATTTGTTTTATTTTATAAAAAATACCTTACAGTTTCTTCTGTACTATAATCTGAATGCTCCACAAATCCAAACGGGGGGTAGAATTTTTGGAGTTCGGATTAAAGAAGTGCTGCTGTAATAGGTATCGTCTCGTAAAAATAGATCAAAGGATTTAGCAAAAAAAAAATTCGTTTTATCTGTCTAAATTCTACTTAATAACTATTGCATCTAGATGTTTTATAATGTATTGTATGTAATTCTTAGTTTAGCATTTATAACATTTTCTCACAAGCAGACTATCCGTTACGGGGAATTGACTTTGGGACTTGCTTCTCCCAACAGGCACTTCAACTGCAATGGCAAGTGTAAATACACCCCATCAGAGTATTACTTGTATCCTAAACTTATTTAATTTTAACATTTAATATATACAACCTTATATTTAATGGAATATTTTAGCTCCTTATTACACAAGTGGTTCACTTTGGTTATATTTTTCACACATGTCGCTAATTGCTTTCGAATTTATTATGTAAGTATACAAAATAAAAAAAAGGAAAAGATTCGATTTAATTTTATTACAAATCAGTAAAGACTCTGTTATTCTCTTTTTTAGCATTTTATATGTGTTTATTTTTAAATGTTTTGCATGCAATATACATTAATGTCCACAATGTGTTACTATGTGTGCTGTGCAGTACAACGCCTAAGTCGTATTATTTTCAAAATATTTAGGTATTAGTTGTTAAGCAAGTCAACAAAGTAAATCTAAATTTTTCCTTCAACTGCAACTTTTTTCACGAAAACCAATACAAATTCCATTTTAATAAATTGAAAGTAATTCCTCTTTTCCATGAAATTCTATTTCAAGCTGTGGATTTAAAAAAAACAATACCGTTGAAATAACTATATTTAATTAATATTTGTAAAATTCAATCACCTTCAAATTTCAAAAATGTTATCATTATTGAAATAAAAAAAAAAATATTGTACTTTCAATAAGAAAGCTCTAATCATTATTGGAAGTAAGCAATACATTACGCCTTTTCTATTTGCCCGCAAAAGAAAAGGATAAACGATGGAAAAGGACAAAACACTATTTTAGTTAAAATAATTTTTGCATAGTTGTGTACACTTTACTGACTTCTTGACTTCTGAACAATGTTTTGAATATAATATGGAAAATGAAGTAAAAGTAAATTAATTATTTATCATAACAAACCACTTTACTTCGAAATTTCCTCACGAAACACAAAACAAAAACGAAAAAGCAAACAACTACAAAACATATAAAATCACAGTACTCCAGAATAAATATGCGGTATTGTATGATATATAAATTATAATTATTAATAGATATTAAGATTATAAAGAATTCCCAGTAACAAAATGCTAAAAATTAATTTAGTTAAAAGAATGAACACTACTACTGTATTGCAAAATATTATAAGCGTCTCTCAATTTATTAATGAACGGTATTTCAATCTGTTAACACCTCCTACTTTGTAAAACACTGATCACCAGCCTCAGTAAAAAATGTAGTCCGAGAGGTGAGGGAATGATTGATGTCACTTTAGCTTGGATCTTTTAGATTTGGGACCCTCATCATCACCATTCTCGTTCTTGCGTTTGCTTGCTTCTTGTTCATTTTCAAGGTTCGCTTCAGGCAGAGGAGGGAGGTCTAACTCAGCGCAGCGCTTCGCGACGTACTTTTCTAATCGGTAGCCCGCTCTGAAAAGATATTCGTGGTTATGTACAATTTGTAACAATATGTACAATTTGCAAAATGTCTTGAAATTAAATGAAATTCACATAGTA